TTATCTGTGCAGCAAATATTTTTCAGGCTACTTAGTCATTAATTTTTCTTAATTTAGTGTTGTCAGAAGGAGGAAATTATGACAAAAATATTTCTTTTAAGTTTCAGCCAGAGTATTTCTACCAGGAAGCACCCGTAAGGGAGGCAGAGCGTTAGAAATGAAATAGAATAACAAGGTAGAATACTGTCTCGGATGTAAGCATGTATTAGCTTTTAAGTTTAACTCATCCTGGGCTTTTTTTAAGGGGAGGAAAAAAGGGTGTGTGTATACTTACAGTCCCTATGTATTAACCCTATACTTTCTTCTGAGAACAAGATCTCTTTAAAGCATCAGGAGCACTGGAAATTTGGCCTTCAGAAATCTCAGTAAGGCTGTACGGGAAGCTGAGACTGTGAACGTGCTGTTTCTCAGTTCAATGGCAATAATATGCTGTCTCTTCACATCAGTTACATTGTTGCTTACAAACGGCTCATTTTCTACTTTAGATTTGGACACATCTCCCTTTTTTAGAGAACAGCCTGTTTTTAAAAATGGCACGAAAATTGTTAGCAACTTGCAACAAAGCAAATAAAAATCCTTGTTTGTCGCCTTCCCCGCTAGCAGAGAGCTGTTAATGGTGCATGTATCATATAGATCCAGTAGCGTTTCTTAATTAAAAATCAGAGAACAAAAAGAAGAGACAGTTTGATCCAACAGATGAAGTCTATGATGGAAGTACTGGATTCAGTCCTAGTACTTTGGGGCCACAAGGGGTAAAACAAAAAAAATAAATCATTTTCTCTTATGCCTTTATGCTTTTTTGCATGTTTGAATTACAATCTGTTCCAGGAAAGGATTTTCTCTACTGTGTTTATACAATGCCTAACGCCACGGGGTCCTGATCCGTTGGTCCTAGTCTTTAAAAAAAACTCACCAACCCAACAATAAAAACTTCCTTGGGCCAGTGGAATGGTTGAAGCCTGATTGCTTTTGATTTATTATTTAAACCCAAACACAAATAGCAGATGAAGTGTTTTATTTTAAAGGAAAGATTGTGTCTGTGCGAAGCATACACTTAAAACATAAACAGAACATTCTATTGATGTAATAGGATTCTAACATGTTTTATAAATGGTTTGGAATTACTGCTGTCAGAGTATTTTCTTCCACTTCTGTAAATATAATCCATCATATTTGAAGTCAATTTACAAACTTCCTTTAGTTAGTTAGGCCACTAAGGCAGAATAGCTCTAATAATTCCTGTTTCTCTTTCCACATGCTACCTTTTAAGTAGGAAAACATGAGGCTGTGTAAAAAATGATGGAAGTGATTATATGGGAAATGAACAGCAGAAGGGCAAGGAAACAAACTGAGAAAATGGGGGAAACACTTTGTCCATAACAAACTATAATAATAATAGATGTTAAAAAAAAGTATAATATTTTTACATATGTAAGCAGTTAATTTTTTTTAATTGCATTTGTGGGCATTTGGTAGCAGTGCTGATGGCTACTGTAATCACTTTAATAGTAGTAGTTCACCATATTACATGCATGGCTGCTGTTAGTTGACATATGAATTATGGAAAAGACTTTAACGCTGTATCCTAGGTTCTTGTAATAATGAATATTATTGTACTGTAGCTCGAGTCTCTTAAATCAAACAACAGGCAAGATCATAGAATCGTAGGCTCATAGCATGCTTTGGGCTGGAAGGGACCTTTAAAGGCCATCTGGTCCAACCCCCCTGCCATGGGCAGGGACATCTACAACCAGATCAGGGTGCTCAGAGCCCCATCCAGCCTGGCCTTGAATGTTTCCAAGGATGGGGCATCTCCCACCTCTCTGGGGAAACCCGTGCCAGTGTTTCACCACCCTCGTAGTGAAAATTTTTTCCTTGTGTTTAGTGTAACTCTACCCTCCTTTAGTTTAAAACCATTACCCCTTGTCCTGTTGCAGCAGGCCTTGCTAAAAAGACTATCCCCATCTTTCTTGTAGGCCCCCTTTAAGTATTGAAAGGCTGCAATGAGGTCTCCACGGAGCCCTCTCTTCTCCAGGCTGAACAACCCCAGCTCTCTCAGCCTGTCCTCACAGGAGAGGTGCTCCAGCCCTCTGAGCATCTTTGTGGCCCTAAGCCAGGAGCTGAGCAGACTTTCTCAGACTGGCAGACAGCGGTACCCCAGCTCCCATCCAAGGCAACATCTTACCAACCTTTGATTATTTCAGACAGCAGCTCACAGCCAAAGTATTTCCTTACTTTTTTTTTTTTTTTTCAAAATACAGTAATAGTGCAGTTGTCAAGGCAGTTCAAGTCGATTGTGTACCTGAAATGCTTTTAAATTCACTTCTATCCAAGCCTTACTAGAGGATTGACTCTGTCTATGATAGGCTATTGTGTCTCATGTTAGCTAGTTGTATGTGTGTGGTTGTGCTCACAAAATACACTGTAAGTCAAGTACTTTTTGAAACTTTATTTGTATTTCAGCCTTGTGGGAATATTCATTGCTCCCGGACTGTGGAGTTACAATTATGTCTTTGTTTGCTCTATATGGACTGAGTGTTCCTTATGGAGGAACTGAGGTAATCAGTAAGGATCACATTTCAATATGATGACATGAAAGCGTGTATTTTCTTCGGTAGCTTTATAGTGTTTTTAAAGATATCTTGTACCTCTGAGTGTGCAGATGAGCCTGAGAAGGGACCTACAATATGAAGTTTGCTTAAAATATACTCTTCTGCTGATTCGTAATTCTCTTGTGTGTTGGGTGACAGTTCTATGTTTCTGTGCGTGTGTGTGTGATTCTAAGAACTCGGATCTTGTAAGAACAGGCGAGAAGTGAAATCTGTAATAACTCTTCAGGTAGAGTTGTCTTCTTTCTGTTCTTAGCAGGGATGAGTTGTTGTTACTGTTTTCTGCTGACTATAGCATAACATGGTGCCTTCTTTAATAATAGTAACTTACAGTCACTGTTTTATCTTCTGAGGCAGCAGCACTTGATTAGTACAGCCGGTACAAGTGTTAATGCTATTTTCTTGGCCAGCCTTAGCAATAATCAAAGCTTTCGGTGCCTGAGGCCCCACTTGTGGGAGCCCTTTCCTCTGTCTCCCAGCACTGAGACCACATCGTGCTGCAGTGTGTCCTGCGTGCGCCCACCCCTGCATCCAGACGCAGGACGAGAGCAGGACGCAGCTTTTGATTCTGATCCCGCAGCCACCGACAGTCTCAGTTGTGCTTGCAGCCTTTATGCTTCCTAACTTCATCCGTGATTGGGATGGAAGGATGAGGCATTAGCGCTTTACGATACGTTCAGAATAAATACTTGATGCCTTTCAGGAAAGTCAGATGCCGCAGGTTGTTCAAGGTTCTGATCAGATTTAAATACCTGTGGGAGTGCTGCTCAGGCTCTCCGCGTGTGTCAGTGAAGAAGATTCCTACGTGGTTGCATACGGGTGTTCCAAGTCCTTATGGCTACGACGTTTCCTTTATGCCTTGCTGAACATTTCTGTCCATTAGCCAGGCTTGTCATTAATGTGCGCTAATTCTTGGTTTGTCTAGCCATTTAGTGCGTAGCTCTTGAACAAAACTCTTATTGCCTGTCAGAATACGAAGGTTCATGCCACAGTTTAGATGAACTAGCTGGTCATTTGAGGATTTTAGCAGATGCATTAGGAAAATAAATTTTAAAAATCAACTTCTCAGACTATCTTTCATGTTGTTTACATAGTTAAACTTTTTTTTCTTTTTCAACCTAGAAATTATACTTAAATTCTCCCACAGGTTAGTGGCTGACAGAAATTTGCAATGTGTTCCTGGCTCTTCACACAAAAAGGAGTTAAAGGAAAAATATGTATTTCATCTATTGGAAACTTCATTAGTTCAGAGGTTTATACTGTCTTGTTGATTAACCTTCAGCATTTAGTTTTGTGCATCGGTGAGGTAAACCTGTTTCTATGATGAAACATCCTTGTATTCTTACATGGTTTGTAGCATGTCTCAAAGGAAAACCAGACACTTTCAGACCTTCTATAACAGGGAATAGTTCTGAAATGTTGCCAAGGAGCAAGAAAATTAATTTTATTAAACATTGTTAATACTTAACGTAATTTAGTTTTCCAAGATAAGTCCCCAGGGTAAAAAAAAAAAAAAAAAAGAGTTAAGCATGTGCTTAACTTTAGCTGCTCAGTTAATCATCAAAAATTGCTCTTGCTTCCACTGCAGCCAAACGTTCAGCAGTTGACTGTGATCATTTTCCTGGTCACTAACCTCTCTGTCATTGGAAAAAATAATACAAATTTTCACAAGGTTAAAAAAAAAATCTGGAAATCGCTTCTTTTGCCCTCTTTTCCCCTCTGTTACTTAACAGTTTATGCATTGGACAAAAGAAGTCCTTTGCATTAGGCATTATTTCTACAAATTAATTTCATTTAGGTTCAGTCATTTTTTTCCGGGCTTGTTTTTATGAGCAAAAATAATAATGATAATCTTCAGAGGAGCAGAAATTAGGCTTTTCTGAATGAGATGTGGAAAAAGCTTGATTTGCTTCCTCAGGCTAATTTCAGTGTCCCTTGGTTTTGCTAGTGTAGGATAATATATGTGATATAAATGTGGAAAAACATGATCGTCACCTGTGCCACTGTGGCTTATGTGCCATCTTCTACCATTCTAGCATTCCAAGAGCTGGCGTCTCTCTCTTTCTCACTTGCTTCTCCGTGTAGTTTCATCTCACACACCAGTGAATTGCAGCTTGCTGGATGTGATGAAATGATCTCGATTGTAACACAAATGAAATAATAAATGTCTGAACACTTTCCCTTTTTGAAAATTCATAGGAACAAATACCTGAAGTTCTCCCTCCTGTTCAGCTTTGCTCAGATTTTGACATCTACTAGACTTACATGTGGCCAAGTACATCATCTGTTAAATCCCTGCTTTGATTTCAATTCTTTGTGAAATGATTCAAGAATAAACGTATTAATTGTTTTCGGCCAACAGCAATGAGAAGACTGGAGTAGAATTTCACAATGGAGGCAAAATCCATAGTCATCGGCGTGGAGGGGATGACATGCAATTCCTGTGTTCAAACCATTGAACAGCACGTCGGGAAGATGAATGGTATCCATAACATAAAAGTAAGCAACGCTATCGCTGTTTCTTACAAAGCTTTGTTCTTGTATAAGAAACCGTGATAAAGTATGCACCAAGGGAGGAAAATATGTGGAAAGAGTATATTCTGTACGTTTCGTGGGAAGCTGATGTTAGAAGTGCATTAGTGTATTTCTGGTGTAAGAGAAAGGCAAGTGCTTACTTTACTGCAGTGGGAGCTAAGTCATTATCTGTTACTCTTAAGTAATCTTCTGCTTTACGATTAATTCAGTATTGTGAAGTAATGAGAAAAAAGTCAAAAAAAGACAAGAACAGAAAATATTTCAATAAGATAAAGCAAAAGCCCTAGAACTTGCACTGGTGAAAAAAGCAAGCTGTCCTTGTCCCTTATACTGAATAGATGTCAGAATTTGCTCACAAGTCTCCAGGCCTTTTCTTTCAAAGTGATAGTACACAGAGGTCACTTGCACAGGTTCACAAGCATTTGTGGGCTTGAGGTGTCCAGGTAATCATGTGGTAGTTGACCCACCGTGAAAAATAAAGCTATTTGTTGTGGTTCATGAAATAAGAGTAGCAGGTAATCCAGGTGACAAAGGAAAGCCTTGCCAGCTCTTTCAAGCATTAGAAGTTTCCTTTCCTTTGTACTGTCCATGGGGAAATGAGAGAAGGAGCAGCAGCACTGCGATCTTGAACTGTTAACAGAGCTACTTGGCTCACCCTTAATCCAGACTTCCTTGATCTGACTTGATTTTAACTTTTTTTTTTCTTAGCTCAGAGGAGATACCAATATTTTGTTAGTATTTTTTCTATCGTGGGCAAAATATTGGACTGTAGAGTATTCCAGGGTGAGCGGATTATTCCTACACAATACATCATTTTACAGTAGCTTTAATAATGGAAACAGTTTAAAAGCTGGGAGATTCCCATTAGTTTTGTGACCTCATTTGTGCTAGAAAGAACAGTCCTAACAATAGCAGCAACAGAAAATTGCAGAGTTCAATTACTTAGTATCTAGGTTCTGAAATCACATTGTAACATTCTGTAGTGGTTGATTTTACTCTAATGAAAATAATGTCTTCCTGGTTTCATCAAAAGATAATTTCTCTTTTAGTGGATATGTCTTAGATGAACACTTTCCTTCCCAGAATCGAGTACACTGTCTTGATTTGGGGGGCATGTGACTGTTACCTCTGGCTGGTTTTGAAGGGCTCACTGTGGCGCGCCGTTCTGTGCGAAGGCAAAGGATGCACTAGATAGCACAGTTTCCTTTTGCCTGAAGTAGGCGTTCATGTCCGCACGCAGGAGTTTTGGTGAACAGCAGCGATATTTACAAGACGCATCATTTTTCATCTTCCTTCAACTTTAATGGAGCTTTAACGTGATAACGAGGCTATGCTCTGACACCAGAACCTTGGATCAGTGGACAGACAGTTTTAGAAATAGGGATGCCGCTGTTAACCTCTGTGGCATGCTATGGTCAGATAAATCCCTAGGTATCCGCGAGCATAAAGTCAAATGAAGGCTAAAAGCAGCCTGTAAAATAATACCCCCAGATAACCTGACTTCAGAATCCTCCATTTCTCCCTTATTCTAGCAAAAGATTTAATCTCCTTAACCTTGCATTTTTATTGTTTCAGCTAATTTCTGAGAACATACAGATAACTTGAGATAGGAGAAGGCAGAGAGATTCATACAGTTGAAGACAATGTGCATCCCATAGTGTCTTTTACGTAAGGAATGAAGCAGGTTTTTAAAAGGACAGTATTAAGAGTTTTGCATTTAGGTTTTAAGGTAAATACCTTATCCCAAAGCTGAATTCTAAAACTACTCTTGGCAAGAAAATATATTACAAAAACTTAGTCTGAGTAGAACAGGACTAAAAGAAACTTTAAGAGGTCATATTTAGTAATTATCCTCATTACAGCATCAGAACTTCAATTTAGCCAGATCATTTGTTTCAGAAAAGTCTCTGGGAATGGTAAAACAAGGATTTGTTTAGTGATTATGAATTAGGTCAGCAAGGGAGATGAATGTTAGATGGCTAATACAGACGAACAGAGCTGCATTTAGGCTGTTTTGCCTCCAGCTGCAATGAAACCAATAAATGTCCATGTTGCTAATTCTACTAAGGCCCATAATGGGGACAAAAATGAAGAAAGGTGGTTCTTAAAATGATTTAACCGGTCTAATTTAATCATGACTGTGGTCGTTAGGTTGTACCTTTGCCCAGAGGACAGATAGAATTGAATGATAATGTGCTGGGCCTCTGGCAGGCATTGCCTTTCCCTTTTGGAAACTGCAGTAATTGTGTTTGATATATCATCCGTTGGGAGCAAATTAAATTGAGGATATTTGTACCATCTGATGTGAAAGGTTAGTACCAAATCAGGACGTCTCTGGATCACCAAAATGTACAGAAGAGAGGAAAAAGAGCTTCTTTAATGTTTGTCATATATCGAATTTTGAAACTGAGTTTTGTTCTGTGAAGTCTGATGCACTTTATTGCCCATAACAAGTTAACAGCCTGTGCCTAAGATGTCTAGAAATACTGGACTCCTTTCACTGCTACTTAAATCTATGGGCTTTTTCCAAAGAGTGTTTTGTTCCATCCTTGTAGCCTAAGGGTAATTACTACTAACTGCAGAATTGTACGTGCGATTAGAATTTTTTCTGTGTGTTGTTTTGCTTTTGGGATTGAATTGGGTTAGTTGTTGTAATTCAAGAGAGTTTGGCTCTGGAAGTTTCATTAAATGCGTTGATGCTGTCTGAATGTCATAAGTAAAAGTGGATAGAGAGACTTGTAAAGGATTCTGAAACTGGTGGGGAAAAAAAAAAAATCTGTTCTTTCTAGCCATGTTGTTGCACAGATGAGCAGAAGTTACTTTATGGTGGCTATTGGTATGGCTTTTCTCTTCCAGGTGAGTAGCGATGGATAAAATTATACTGGACAAGTATTACTAATATATGCAAGTACAAGCTATTTCTGGTCTCACGCAGGGTATAAGTTCTTATCTCTTAGTATTGCAGTTTGATAAATAGTTTTGTTCTTTTTTTTCCCTTGCAAGGTATCTCTAGAGGATAAGAATGCAGTCGTCATTTATGACTCAAAACTGCAGACTCCAGCAACACTGCAGGAAGCAATATATGACATGGGATTCGATGCTACGTTACCTGATTCAAACCCACAACCTGTTTTACCTGACACTATTTTTCTTGCAATTCCTGCTCAGTCAGCTCTAACGTCTAAACAGATTTGTAGTACACTACTAAAGAACAAAGGTATCGTGGATGTTAAAATGTCCTCTGATCAAAAAACTGCAGTGGTGACTTTCATTTCTTCCATTATAAATGGCAAGCAGATTATCCAAATGGTCCCAGGAGTAGATTTAAAAATCTCAGCACCAGAGGTAACGCCTGGAACTTGTGAAGATTCCACCTGGTCTCAAGCAAGTAGCGTTGTGCTGCGCCTGAAAGTAGAGGGGATGACCTGTCATTCCTGCACCAGCACCATTGAGGGGAAGGTTGGCAAATTGCACGGAATTCAGCGGATTAAAGGTAGAACCTTAGTGTATTTTTATGTAAATTGCTGACCGTGCTGTTCTCTGACGGCATTGTGGAGATATCTTGGCTTTAGATTAGATAGCTTAGTGTGACAGTTACTTTCCGTGATACCGGGTATTTATTTACATGTTTAACTTGGACTGGAAGTGAAGAAAGGGGCCCAAATTGTGGTGAGGCTGTTGCTGTTACATGTGTGACAGTATGGAGTGGTTTGTATTCTGGTAGGGAGCCTGGAGTAGTCATGTTCCACGGTTTTATTACCAGTTACAGAAATCTCTAATACCAGATGTCTTCTTTTGTGTTGTAATTAATATTAGTTTATATGTTCTGTTCAATTAAAAATTAATATTGGCATATATGTGATTGTGTCTAAAAGGCAAGGCAAAATTAGCTGTATAAATAGCTTTGGCATAAATGTATTGCCACAGACCCCTGATAAAAGGATAAATTTAGTAAGAAATAGTAATGCCATTTGTGAAAGTCCTGGGGAAAGAGGGAAAAAATTGAGGAAAAGAAGAGTTGAAAATTGTTGTAGTACTAGACAAAAAATGGTTGAGAACTAAATTGTTTGATATTTACCAAACCAATTAAATCTCCTTTCCATTGCAGTTACATTTCTGAGCGTTTAAAGCATTCTTGGAAAGCTTTGACAAGATTTGTTGCTCTTAGGGCAACGTGCTTATTATGCTTAGGGGAGTAATGCACACTTACTTTTATTTATTAATTTTCAGTGTCCCTGGACAATCAGGAAGCTGTTGTTGTCTACCAGCCTCATCTAATTACAGCCGAAGAAATAAAACATCAAATTGAAGCTGCGGGTTTCACAGCATCTTTCAAAAAGCAGCCTAGACCCCTCAAGCTCAGTGCTATTGACCTGGAAAGGTTGAGGAATACTCAGACCAAAGGCTCTGAGACAGCGCTGAAAGAAGACTCGAATGTGAATGATACAAAGACAGTCGTCCTCAGAATTGATGGCATGCACTGCAATTCATGTGTCCTCAATATTCAGAGTACCATATCAGCACTCCCATCAGTAACAAGTATAGTTGTTTCATTAGAGAAGAAATCTGCCATTATAAACTATAACCCAAACTTAATTAGCGTAGACATACTGAGAAAAGCCATAGAGGCAGTGTCTCCAGAGACATTTAAAGTCAGCTTTCCTGATGAATGTGAAAATGTAGCACTTTTCCCCATGCTGGCATCTCCACTGAAGCTTCCTCATCCAGCTTTGAAGGATGCCGGCCAGCCACTTACTCAAGTTGTTGTGATAAATATCGAGGGAATGACTTGCAACTCTTGTGTGCAGTCCATTGAGGGAGTCATATCCCAAAAGGCAGGTGTAAAATCTATTCATGTCTCTCTCACAAATCGTAATGGGACTATAGAATATGACCCTCTGCAAACATGCCCAGAAGACTTGCAATCCTCAATAGAGGATATGGGATTTGATGCATCTGTATCAGGTAATGACACGTTAAACTTTTAAACTGAAATGGATTGTGCAGTTCTGTTTAGGGTTTGGTACCACCCAAGGTGAAATTTAGCAGTTGACATACACTTCGTGCTTGCCAAGAGAAGCTTTATATCTTCACTGTCAGTGAGATAATTAAATATATGTGCACTTCCTTTAATACATCAGATTAAAAATGATTGAGGTATCTGGAAATGTAAATATGTCAGATAAATACTGATGTTCAAATGGTGCTCCACTTTGCTATATATGTACTGTATAATATTCATGGCATGAATATGGAATTGGAGCTTTGCTAGCTGCGAAAAATATTACAGATTGCTGCGCAGAAGTTTCTTTAATAGCAAATTATCAAAGACTTGGCTCCTGTGGAGTAACTAGTGAAGGGATATTTAACCAGGCTCAGGGTGACTGAGGAGACAAGCATCTGAAGAGTGTGGACATGAGTGAGGAAGTTAAAATGATGCTGTTGTGAGTTAACCTTGGTAGGCAGCTGAACACCACCCAGCCACTCGCTCGGTCCCCCACGGTGGGATGGGGAAGAGAAGGGTAAAAGAGCGAAAACTTGTGGATTGAGATAAAGGTGGTTTAATAGGTAAAGCCAAAGTTGCATGTGCAAGCAAAGCAAGGAATTAATTTGTTACTTCTCATCGGCAGGCAGATGTTTAGCCATCTGCAGGAAAGCCGGGTTTCATCATGCGTAGCAGTTACTTGGGCAGACAAATGCCATCACCCTGAATGTCATCCCCTTCCTTCTTCTTCCCCCAGCTTTACGTGCTGAGCATGACGCCATACGGTGTGGGATATCCCTGTGGTCACCTGGGGTCAGCTGTCCCGGCTGTGTCCCCTCCCAGCTCCTGGTGCCCCCCAGCCTCCTCGCTGGTGGGGTGGGGTGAGCGGCAGAAAAGGCCTTGACTCTGTGTGAGCGCTGCTCAGCAACAACTAAAACATCGATGTGTTCCCAACGTTGTTTGGTCACAGATCCAAAAGACAGCACGATATGAGCTACTATGAAGAAAATTAACCCTGTCCCAGCCAAAACCAGTACAGATGCTTACTGTGATGACTGGTACACTAAAAGTAATTGCACAGTGGGAGCAGATGGCTAGACAGTAGAATGTAGAAGACTTACGGTGAGAATATAGGAGAATATTAATAGGAAGAGAGGCTTCCTGAGGGGACAGGGAAGCTCCGTTTCTTGATTCAGTAAGATTAAATTTTGAGAAATACAGTATGTGAGCTATTTTATGGCAATAACTGAAGAAGTGGTCAGGTGCTCCCATTTAATTCCTTTCGTACTGCTCCTGCATAAGCATAGCATCTCCTGAATTGCTGTAAGAAGCAGTTGTCTGTAGTTTGAGAGCCCTTCTCTAAGGTCAAGAACACTGACTTTGGTTATGAAACATGCGCTTGCTTACAAATTCAGCTTTGTGCCCCAGGTAAAGTCAATAAAATTGTGTGTAAAACTAAGGTTGCAATGCAGAGGTTTAGCTTACAGCCTACAGAAGAGGACAAAGGATGTGCAACGGAACAGACAAATGCAATGAGGAAAGGCAAAAGGAAAAATAGTAGCAAAACAGTAACTCACTCAGCGGCCCGACCCTTTGTCTTGTTTTCTTTTGCTTACTCTTGACAGATGGATGAATCTGACAAAACATGTACAATTACCATTTTTTGGTCTAAATTTACAGCAACATGTATTTATGGCTGGTGTAGTACCAGCTCATACCTCACTGCAGTGGCTATTCATAATGTCATGAATTGCAATCTCCTTTTCAGCAAAGGCAGAACTACCTATGGCAATAGCTCAGCCCTCGCCTGACGTGCAGCTGGAATCTCACAAAACCGAGCCTCCCTCCAAAGTGTCGCCAACCCACCTTGCTAGACAGGAGACAAAGACTATATCAAAGTGCTATGTCCAAGTCACAGGAATGACATGTGCTTCATGTGTAGCCAACATTGAGAGAAATTTGAGACGAGAAGACGGTAAGATAGATGTCAGTGTAATCTGTTAAATTTCTAAGCGCTTCTTTTAGGGAATCCATGTCATTTTTGTGCAGCATTTTTAATGTGGGGCTTGTCAAGAGAAGGACCATTGCTGGTGTGTTTCATGGGTGAGAACATAGTCTGCTCGCTGTCAGTTCATGGGATGAAAACAATGTCGTTCTTGCTGCTTTGTGGGCATGCTGGCTAGAGACTGCCTCTGCGAAAGCAGAAGTTGGAGTGCTCCAAAGAGAATATAGGGATCAAACACAGATCCTTTTGAAACTAAACCAAATCTTTTTTGCTAGAGGGATGTGCCCACATCCGCAACTTAAAGGCAGAAGTATACGTGCCTGTATTAGAAAGGGAGCTATTAGAGCGGGACAGTATTAATATGGATTAAAGAGACATAAGTTCATTTTAGCTCTGCGAGTCAGGACAACTATGTCTGTCTTCTGACAGTGTGATGATTATATTTGCAGGAGCAAATAGTCGCATGACTATGATGTAATGAAGAGTCATTAATGTAGACTGTGTTTAATTATTGTAATGAAGATGGATGTGTTCCAAGTTAACCTGGGATTTAATTTTTTCACCCTAGAAAATGAATTAATCTAAATCCTTTTCATTTAGTGTACTGTAGGATTGCACATTGTTAGATCTACCCTTTCTCATACATGTTCTTTCTTGAAGAAAAGGCTTTTAGAAATGCTAAATGCAGATCAGAGAAGTATTCAGAACTGTCTTTTAGAAGAACTTCTTTTAAGTAAAAATAGGTCATCTTTTCATATGGCATAGATTGAATGTTTGTAACTGTTAAAAATATGCAACTCGTGTGGAGTAATACTTTCATCTGTCACACCTACACTTAGATGCTGTTGTTGCATCGTTGATGTATCTTCCAAAAACGATGACATTTTTCTTTAGGTGTACCTACAATCCATATTGTAGCTTTCTCAATTTCAATAAATTGCTATCGTGCCATCATGTTACCGTAAATGCAGTGCTTTTCTTAAACATGATCTGCCATTTCAACATTTTGCTTTTTAGGAATACATTCAATACTTGTTGCTCTAATGGCCGGAAAGGCAGAAGTAAGGTATAATCCTGCTGTCATACACCCTTCAGCTATTGCAGAGCTCATCCGAGAACTGGGATTTGGAGCTACCGTGATGGAAAACTGTGGTGAAGGAGATGGAATTCTGGAACTTGTTGTAAGCTAGTAATTAAAACCAACCACTCCTGTCGTTATTACTTTTATCTATTAGATGCGCTTGTCTAAGCGTTTACTTCCTAAAGTGTTAATCGTATAATAGAGTTTAATTTACAAAAAATAAAGTCTAAGAGTACATCAGGTATGTATCACAAACTATATCTTGTCCTGCAAACTGTGCTGGCTCACTGCTATGCTGAAGTCAGAGAAATATTGCTCTGAGCTTGAAGAGCCAGCAGAGCTTTAGCAGAGCTTTAGCAGACCTTAATAACCTTGTCGCTATGCTATGCTTCCTCTATAGTGCTCTCATCCTTAACTAGAGAGCTCCATCTCAGTGCTTCAAACCCCAGAAATATGCAATAAGTAATTCAGGATAGTCATAAGCACTTTTTCTTTTCCTACTTTTTAAGATGCTTTTACTGAGGAACCTGTGGTTTTGATAACAGGAAGGAACCTTTATTTTACAGGTGAGAGGAATGACATGTGCTTCTTGCGTACACAAAATAGAATCCACCCTCATGAAGACAAATGGTGTTTTATACTGCTCGGTAGCTCTTGCAACCAACAAAGCACACATTAAATATGATCCTGAGATTATAGGTCCTCGAGATGTTATGCAAGTGATAAAGGTAAGTTTCATGAAGGCACCAAGTTTCATAAAACATCCAGTGTCCTTTGAAGAGTTACATACCCCAGAAACAGAAGAGAAGGGAAGACTATTAAAGGAAAGAAAGCTGTCTCTTGCATCTGCTATCTTCTTAGTGCAGGTTTCTGCAGATAATAGTGTCTGCTGGCTCAAAAGCAATGCTCTATTATGACTTTGCCTAAGTATTTAAACAGAAATACTAGGAACGCCAGGCTGTGGTAGAGTTGAAGATACCAACTATAGGTTTGCAGAAAAAAAAAAAAAAGCATATCCATGACTACTGTAGCAGGAGAGAGGTGAAATAAGTTTCTTGGCTTTCTCCCTCAATTTCTCTAGTCCTGTGCTTCAGGCATGACCATTTTGGAAAGCCACATTTTAGAATAGCATTTTAATGTTCTAGAAAGGTTGATTTCTACATCAGATTGCTTTTCTCTCTTTGCAAGGTAACTAAAAATTAGTAAAAATCATATCAAAAATGTTAATAAAGTAAATCAAGTGTAAGGCTGGTGCCATCTGGCAGTAACTTTATACACAAAGTGTATAAGTGTAAAGTAACTTTATGCACAAAGTGTCTTTAAAAATCCACTGTTCTTTTTTTAATTATTATGCTTTTTTCCTTAGGATTTAGGTTTTACTACTTCGTTAGTCAAAAAAGATAGATCTGCTAGTCATCTAGATCACAAACAGGAAATAAGGCAGTAAGTATTCCTGAACATATTTAGATTCTATAAACATCTTTGATTCTTCTTTTTTAATTAACAGTAAAGTTATGATTTTTTTGTGTGTGTGACTGTGCAGACTTGCTAGCTAAAACGTTATCCAGCACTTGACTGCAAAACCAATTTTTTTCTTCTTTTTTTAAATCTGAGGTGGAAAAGGTCTTTTGTTGTGAGTCTCGTGTTCTGTATTCCTGTCATGGGGCTGATGATTTACATGATGGTTATGGACAGTCAGCTTTCAGATGCTCACGCACATCACAACATGAGCAGTGAGGAGATGGAGGCCCTTCACTCCTCCATGGTCCTGGAGTACCAGCTCCTACCAGGATTGTCTGTTATGAATTTTCTGTCGTTTTTACTCTGTGTCCCTGTACAGGTAAGTGGGCATATGCCAACTTCTAGTTTATTGGGCTTAAGCACTCAAAATGGAAGGTGGTGAAGAAATTAAATTTGAGAAGTGACTGTAATTGTGCTGATTCAAAATGTTTTTGAGGTTATGTGCTTCTGCTGTTGCCACAATAAGTGGTGCTAGGGACCGTTACGAACAGGCCAGTCGGTGTAGAGATGCTGTGCAGCCAGGCAGCATCTGAGGCAGCCTGCCTAGCTGCGCTGGTGGGCGCGGGGAGGAGCTGGTGGAGCTGCGTGGAGGTGAGAAGACCTGAGAGTGCTGTGGTAGAGATCATAGCCCTCGGCTAGAGCTGGGATTTTGTTCAGGAAGAGATGGAGAAGGCAAACACCACACGTAAAATGGGTGTCTCCCTCTCTTATGGAAATGCTGCTGCTGTGTGTGACAAATGCGTGCGTAAAATACAACTGATGCTCTTATTACAGGTGTTTGGAGGCTGGCACTTCTATATACAGGCGTACAAAGCACTGAAGCACAAAACTGCAAATATGGACGTGCTCATTGTTTTGGCAACCTCCATTGCATTTGTCTACTCGTTTGTTATTCTTCTAGTTGCCATGGCTGAGAAAGCAAAAGTAAACCCTGTAACTTTCTTTGACACGCCTCCTATGCTGTTTGTGTTCATCTCATTGGGCCGGTGGCTAGAGCACGTTGCAAAGGTAAGGAAAATAAAAGCCCATTATATTGACAAGCTGCAAGACACTAAGAATCATTTCAGAATGTTGTATACCTTTAAAAAAAAAAATCCCATGAAAGAGCTATGTTAGATTCTTTTAACCTTCTTTGTTGTAAAATCATCTATAGTAACTGAACTAGTAAAAAAATGAAATGACTTAATATAAGTCCGTTTGCAGAAAGTATTTTCTTAATAGGGTAAATTGCAACATATGCAGTTGTCATTTACCCAGCAATTTTTTTCAATAGCATAGTCAGAAAAATATGAAAATTATTATTCTAGGGTAAAACATCAGAAGCACTGGCAAGACTAATTTCATTACAAGCTACTGAAGCTACTATTGTTACCTTGGGCCCTGATAACGTTCTTTTAAGGTATCTTGCTTTGTCATTTGCTTTTTCTGTTGTTCCTTTTCTTACTGCTAATATGCTTAATTCACAGACAAATGTTACTGTTCTATAGAACTATGAAGCAAATAACTTCAGATTTGCTGGCAGGTTTGCCAGATATAAATGTTAAAATGCAGAAAAATTAACGCTGCTCTGATATGTTTCATTGGAATCTTGCTAATTTTTGCTGTTATAAGAAAATCAGTGGATTTTTCTCAGCTGGAAAGTAAATAAAATCATGATAAAATAATCATAGGGCTCTTTAAAATGGCCTTTCTTCTGACAATTTTTGTATACGTTAACGGTGTTAATGAATGGGGTTATACTTTGTGTATAGTGACAACTCCTTTTGCCTGAGTAACTTCAGCTAACAGTCTCTTATTAAAACCACTATACATCATTCTAGTGAAGAGCAAGTTGATGTCGAACTGGTTCAACGAGGTGACATTGTCAAAGTGATCCCAGGAGGCAAATTCCCAGTGGATGGTCGTGTTATTGAAGGACACTCTATGGTAGATGAATCTCTTATCACGGGTAAGCATTTGCTTTTTGCAAGTGTAAAGACGTTTTTCTTTTCCTTTAAACGAGTCTAAAGAAGGGAGATTGAAGCTGATGTTACCTTCACTCTCCTAATTTCACGTTAGGAATTGGTAGCTATTATAATATTACTGAAAAATATACTTCAGTATCTGTTGTTGACCTTTCCTTAGGTGAAGCGATGCCTGTGACTAAAAAACCTGGCAATACAGTTATTGCAGGTTCTATTAATCAGAATGGATCACTACTGATTTCGGCAACCCATGTTGG